AAGACTCCAACGTAAAGAATAAAGATTGGTTAAAAGAGGGCAGGAATTTGGTTGTTATACATCGCTAAGAAGCTGGTAACCAAGACTTCCTTCATGAGAAGTTCCCAAGGGACACTTAACGTAAGTGCTGAAGGCGTTTCCATGAGAAGAACCGCAGGGGCCTGGTTCTGTTAGAGGTCCAGACCCCACGTCCTCAACAAGGCAGGCCTCCCGGGACACATCCATACACCTGCAAGGCGACGCAAACCTGAGGCGCTGTGTTCAACAACTTGCGACTTGGTTCTGGCAGCGACGTTTATCAGAGGTCGCTGAATCTGACCTGGTCTCAGTTTCACAGCTGCACGCAATCTGTCTGAACTTGCTCTTCTTTCATTAAGAAAAAGAAAGGGGAAGTTTTTAATCGACAAAATCCTCTATTCCCACCTTCACTGTCCTCTTCTTACGTTTCATCTGCGGTAATTTCACTGAGATTTCAAGTCAAAGGCCGCTTCTCAGAAATGCAGCATTAGCCGGGCCTGGTGCGCGTACTCACGTAGCTACAAGCAGGCTCGATACCCCAGTGTTCTCGGGGCCGCCTAGGCCTATCAATGCTACCGTCTCTATTTTAAAATCAGGAACTATATAAAATAGAGTTTTAATCATATCCCTTAGCCAAAAAGCCACCTTTCATATTCTTCAGATGTTCCACATTCCCTTTACTGTCTGTACTACCACTTTAAAACAGGCAATTGTGTCCCATTTTACTGAGAGGCAAACTGAGACTCGGAGATAGAGCACATTTTCTAAGAGATCAGGCTCCTTAAGAGTTATGTGATCTTGGGCGAATCATTTTACCTTTCTGAGTGTCCATATACTCCTTGGTAAACCAGGGATATTAAGACTAACTACTTCACATGAGGACTAAAATGCATGTAAAGAGCTTAACTGAGCACAGAGCCTGGCACACAGCAAGTGCTTGATAAATATTAGCTGGCATAATATCCTTTAACTTGTCAAAGATCTGAGTGGCGAGAGGAATTATTGGCTCAAACTCAAGTCTGTCTGACAGGAATTGTGGCTCAAACTCAAGTCTGTCTGACAGGAATTGTGGCTCAAACTCAAGTCTGTCTGACCTAAAGTCCTATGTCCTCCCCATGTCACCAGCCAGCCAGCACTCTTCCAGATGCCTCGACCCACTCACCAGTGGCAGACTGAACCACATTGGAGTTTGTAGCAAAAGAAAAAAAATCAGTAATACTGATCTTTTCTTTATTTAAAATGTGGATATCTTTTATTACCGTGTTTTGCGTTAATTTTGATTTTTTAACTACTCCTGATTATGCATGAACATGATATTTATAAACCCAAGAGAAAGCAAGGGTTGGAGGGCTGAAAGGCTGAGCATGGTTCGGGGGAGTGGGAGGTTTGAATTCAAGTCCTACCAAATTAGAGGTACTTGGGAAACACCTTGGGGTTTGAGAAATACCTCACCTTTCCACTAAACCCCATTACGGGTCATACCTTGGGAGTCAGGCCCATATCCCAGGACTAAGACTTCAACCATCAGACCCAGGGCAAAACAGACCCACGAGGGCAAAGCCTAAAACCAAGTCTTTCATAGGCTCAAGGTGATTTTCCAGTAATGCAGCTTCCTGCTAGAGCAAAACTCAGCATTCTTTGGTGGACCTGAGCTTTAAGATGCGTCACTCACGATGTCCAGTAAATAATAAAAACTACCATAGCTCTGAAGCAAAAGAAAATTGTACCCAGAGTCAAGAGAAAGAGCTGCTGATAGAAACACACCCACAGATAAACCAGATGTTAAGAACTGGCCAACAACGACCTTCAATAATTTTGATAAACATGTCAAAAAATGCACACTTTGTGAATTTTACGAATCATAACCTCACCCACCCCCAACATTCTCGTGAACTTGAGTTGCCCGTGATTTTTAATCAAATTGGGATTTGGGATGGTTTATATCTGAAAGTCTGAGACGAACAACTTGAAAGTGATTAATGACAGTCAAACTTAATTATATATTTACACCTCCCAGTAGGACAAGGGAGAGAATGAAATGTCTTATCTCTCTGTAGTGAGAGGGCTTTATTAAGATCTGACAACAACTATTTAGGAGCAGTAATTGAGTTTTATGCAAGATTACACAGGCTCTCCTTGTCTGGCATCCCAATATAATCACAGGCTGATTGACTACTTAGGCTCCTAACAGTGAGAAGAAAAGAAACAACAGTTGAGCTGTGTACAAAACTAACCTCTACAAGTACTTATCCCCATCTGTCAATGTGATCTTACCAAGGATTTCTATAATTTCTGTAAACAACCATTATATTTTAGCTGAATCAGTAAGTAGCATTATGCTCTTTAAAGAGATAGTCAGATACCTTCTACTTTAAAATGCTTTCCATTAATTTCTACTACTCCCTCCCCAAAGGAATTTGGCTTTAAAGTTCTTTTCCTTAATCCACTAAGCAATCTCATAAATAAAAAAGATAATCATATGCTATGCATGTCTGATGTAATTCTTATAAACCTTCTGACTGTTCTAATATTCATTTACGATTTTGTGAAAATAATATTTATTGAACAAGCTGGATTACCTACCTTCTTTCCCCAGGGAAAAAAAACAAACGTTGATGAAGATACACTGAAAGGTCTGTTAAGTACATGTTCGTTTTGCTTAAAATTTTACTTAACATTCTATGGAGACTGGCATGGGATCGCAGGGATGGCTGACTTGGCCTCCCTGATATTGTCTTTGTGTTTCTTGCACCCACTTATGTTGACACTGCCACTCTTGAAGATGCTAATTTACTTTTACTGAGGTAGAGAAACACTCTTTTTCCCCCAAGTTTTGTTGTTCATATTGGTCTCCCAAAAGGATGGCCTCGCCCATTGTTTTTTTCTTACTCTGCCTTTCTCAGGGAGCTTGTTTCCCTCACAACAGGGCTGGAAGACATCTGAGGGACCCACCCAGAACTACATCTATAAGCAACCCATCCCAACAACAATTAACAAGTATCCAGGGACAGAATTCAGGCAGCTCCATTTATGTCATTCACAAAGTGAGTTCCCTGCTCCCTAGCGGTGCTTCTTCCAGAAACCGGGGGCAACTCTGTCTCTCTCACCTTCGTTGGAGAGTTGGAGACTAGAAGCCCACAAATCTGTTTGCTCCCAAAAGTGATCCTTAGTGTTCTTTCCTCGTAAATGCTCAGAAATTGGTCTCTTCTAGAAACCCTCTCCCCCTATGTCAGACCACAACTATGTAGGTCAACTCTTAGAACCTACCTGAAATGTTCCCTATGTAAGTCACCCACGCGAATTATCTCCAAATAGCTTGGAAGTAAATTAAATTGCCTCTCTGTATATCACTACCATCCTAGATGCTACGGGAAGCAAATAAAATTCTTAGAGGAGAGGACCCGTTTCTCCTTATTTAAGACAAATAGATTTTTTGAAATGTAAATGACGATATCTGTTGAGCACTTTTTGGTTCAAGAAACACATTGCTAAGCACTGGCTACATGCTGGGCATTATAACTATGCAAAGATGCCTAAGACCAGGACCTCACAACCCAGTAGGAGATACAAACATATCAACAAATGATCATAATGTAATGGGTTAACTATCACAAGAGAGCTGAATAATAGAATAAAGCGAGTAACTAAGACGCCAGATGCTAAAAGGAACTAAACAAGATTTCAGTGGCCGATTCTAAGGTATTAAGTTCCTTCCCTTATTGTCTCCAGTTGTGTTTCCATTCTTAAGAGGAGAATGCATCACATGTTTTGAGGTGGGGTTTTTTTTCCAGCTGGAAAAACTAAGTAAACAGCACATAAGCGGTTACATAAAAAATTTCATTTCCAAAGTTATCTTTACTCCAATCCAAACAACCTACTGTTAAAAGCCTCACTGTCATCATAGCTTAAAATATTTTCACTTCACTGAAGAAAATTCTTTCGGACTTGGAAAAATTCTTGTTTATGACATTAAAGAACCTAGATCCTGGTCAGAATGGGCTTAATGGGAACAAATGTCATTATTATCTTTATGGTAGTTGATTAAATATCCAGAGAAGAAACAAAAATGTGTTGGATAAACTCCCTTAAAACGCTTGTTAAGCAAAAATACCTATACCAAAGCAAAAAATAGATATATCTCATAAAAGCCTTAAAGAAGATAAATTTCTTATTATCAAACCTTATTTTCCATGATTTAAACAAAATAAATGCATGTTCCCATCAAACATTTTCAATTGAGGCAGAAGGGCAAAAAAGGTCAGAGGAAACCTAGAAAAGCTATTTATAGGATTATCTCACAGGCTTCCTCAAACAAAACAAAAAAATATGGCTAACTAAGTGGTTGGAAAAAAAGAAAAGAAACATTTTGGAGAACCAGCCGGCAGCCCCTCGTCCTGTTCCTCATACCTACTCTTTTCAACACTTATAATGACATTGAGACATTCACGCCCAGCCCCTGCTCCCTGCCCCAGCCCTACAGGTATGCGGGCATCTTCCTCCAGCACAGTCGCTTTCAGACTCTCTACACTAACAAAAAAGAGTTTCATGTGGCTATAACATTCATGTATATTAGGCAGAATTAAAACGTTATTATCTGTTTAGTTTCACTGAAAAATAAGGTCATAGCCAACATGTTTAGGAGTGACTCCAAAGGTCTGCCTGTAAACCATGAAAAAGAAAAGAGAATGCACTTTATATTAGCCAGGCTCGTTCATTAAGAACTAGCTTAGTCATTCAAAATACTCCCTGAATAGTCTTTTTCATAGGAAAACGAAGAGAGTAAAGTAATAAGGGGTTTTTATTAGCCATTTATCTGATTCCCACACCCTTCCATCCACACCAGAACTACATCAGGACACTTAGAGAGCCTGCAACATTTCACAGAAGCATGAAACAGAGAATGGTAGAACTGAATCCTACCCAGTGTCCCACTGAGATACAACAAAATACATGAAGAAGGGGAAGCACAGAGGAAAACTTACTTGCAATATCCTGTGCCATTGTGGTAGGTAACACATACTCCTTCATTGACACAGGGCTCGTGGCGATCCCGACACTGCAACGCTAAAAATAAAAACAAACACACTTTAGAAATAAGTCACTAATCATAACCCTCAGACATCAAAGAAATGTTATCCAATCTAAGTCAACATTCATTCCCATATCCAACCCGATCTGGATTTCCTTTTAGAGTTTTAATCTGTTTTTCTTTTGGCTCCTGGGGTCATAGAAGCATGGAAGCTCATCTCAGTCTCTCCTCCCACAATAACTGTTTTGTGGCCTTGAATGATGCTTTTAATTCTCTGTGCCTGGACCTCCCCAGCTGTTACATCCCTGTCTCCCAGTGGTACTCGGGAAACCCAAGCTGTAATACCCACGACAGGACATGAGCATCTTGGGATTTGGATACTTCAGGTGAGTAATGTAAAGATTCGTCAATGCATATTTAGAAAGACCTGGGTAGATACCAGGTCACCACGATATTAATCAATTACTTAAGCTTTCAGGTCAGGTTTCAGAAAAGGCCACTTGAAGAAGCAAGCAGACACGTCAACAATAATCCTTCAACAAACTGTAGCTGAGAGCCTAGTATGTACCAGGCATTATATTAGGATCCAGAGGAAAAAGGAGAAATGGAATACATAGAGAAATAAATAAAACACAATCTCTACCTTTAAGGAGAACAGACCCTGAATAAAGACTGTAGAGGAGGGGATCAAAGTAAAGAAAATGAAAAAGTTCACTTGGACACACCGATAAAGTAGTAATTCTCAAATTCTTGAACCCCAGTCCCTTTACCAGGCAAAGAAAAGGCACTTCGCCACCCTAATCCCTCCCCAAAACAGGCTACTCGGAAATAAACAGCAAACGAAGAAAGTTTCATTGATTTAAGCCAAAACAGGAGGAAAGCTATCCAAAGTCTGTCACTCACTTGCTATATAATTACAATACCTTGATTGTTTAGCTTTTAGAGTTGGAGTTTTCATCACCAGAATGCTTATTATGATTCTAACAACAACTGAAAAGGCAAGACAGAAAGAAACCTAGTCAAACAATCAAAATAAAAATCGAAGTTCATGAACTTTTGCTGGAAGATTATGACAGCTTCCATCTCCTAGGATGGTTGAAAAGCTTGCCATTTTGCACACGCCCACCTTTTGTGCAAGCCCACTTTGTCCCCAGCTTGTAAAAGCGGCCACGCAGAGCCAGCCCGAGTCAGTTCAGATGACTTCCTTTCCTCTGTGCTGACTCCCTTGTGCCTTAGCATCAGCTTAATAAAATCTGTCTGGAAATTTCTCCAGGACTTCCTCTCAATTTCTATCTTGGGGAATCCAAGAACCCCAACGCCAGTAACACTATGAAGTAGTTAATTTCACTCGGCCCATTCCACAGAAAGGGTAAGTAACCTGCCTATTATCACATCTGTGAATTAAAGAGCCAGAACTTGAACCTAGGAACTGTGGGGCCCACGAGTCTGTGCTCTTAACTGCAGTGATCCATTGCTTCCCACTATCTGACATTTTCCTTCTTGGGATGGTCAGGATAGCATTATACCCATTTAATAGAAAGTGAAGGCCAAGAAGGTTCAGTGACCTCCTCACAGGACATCACACCAGTAGCTGGCAGTGCTGGGCCTGAGCCCCAGGTCTCTTACTGAGTTCAGCCCCCTCTCCATGGCCGCTGTTGGGATCACACAAGCAGTCACCAGGCTGCAGCCGGAACAGGCAGATTCAGGAAAAGGGTCATCTTGTTGTCTATATCCCACTTCCCTGTAGGGCTCAAATGCTCCCTCTTCCCACACTGATAAGCCCAATGCAACAACTATAATTAAAACAGTTAATGTCAGGTTATTTCCTCCATACCAAAGTTCTCAAACTGGTTTTTTTCTCTCTCATTCTCTTTGGACACTTTTATTAGTTTCAATGAGAACTTCCTGACTTTTTACTATTTGCTTTTTTTCTTTAAAAAAAAGAAAACCTCTCAGTAGGAAAGAAATGTCCCATAGGCAGAGAGCAAACTGCAGCTTTGTCCTGCCCCTGCAGGAATCCTGGTGCAGTGGAGGGGCCGGGAGACCTGAAATCCTGCCTCCACCACTCGCTGCGCTGCGCTGCTTGCTACAAGCAAAGCACAACCTCCTGCGGGCTCCTTTCCCTACCTGTAAACCAATCTAAGGTGAACTAAATGCTCCTGAAGGTCCCATGTGATCCAGCAAGTGACACCTCCCTCATTAAAAGTATGTGACTAAATGCCTGGTACCTAGAGAAATCTATCCAGAAGGGCATAAGGACCCAGTGGCCCATGACTCAGCCATGGGTGTAAAAATAAAAAAAAAATCACAGTCTGTCCCTATTAAGTGTCCTGGCAAATCAATACAATGAAAGGTTCAGTGAAATACAAACAACACAAAGTCAACATGTGGCAATCAATCTACCAAATAACTTTACAGCCCAGCCTTAGTGAACCAATCGAATTCAGTGACCAAAAAGGAGGTGGGCTTACAGGGCTAATAATTAATGCCACCTGGCTAATGTGTAGGGTCAGGCTACCTTGAACCTTTAACATTTACTAAGCCATGGTTCTCAACCTTTAGCGTGCAGCAGAATCATCTGGAAGGCTTTCTGGACCCCACCCCCACAGATTCTGATTCAGCGGGTCTAGAGGGGGCCTGGGAATCTGCATTCCCAATGAGTCCCCTACTGACGCTGATGCTCCCGGTCCGGGGAACACTTGGAGAGCAACTGTGCTAAGGCATGAGTGTCTGCTTTAAGGGCTCCCCTAAGACTATATAATCCACTGGAGGTCTTGTATGACCCAAATGATAACACATTGCCTGAACAGACTGAAGAAAAATAAATGTGAGACTCATGACTTCGCCTGGGGGCTACTCCTAAATGAATACTGTAATTATTTGCTATACAAAGAGAAGTTAAAACTTTGATAACTCAAAACCATGACAGTGGCTGGGAAAGACCTCACTTCAAAATTCAACTTACTTTTTCCCAATGTAAAAACTACAACTTAAGCAATAAAATTGAAAGCAGCTTCATATTTGTAGGGTAAAAACGAAATGCTCAATCATACCACAGTTGGAGAACTGATGCTTAAACTGATGTTTTAATAGACTAAGAGAAACCTGTCACTCACAAAGAGTGACTTTGTCCCAAATTTTCATCTTAAGCCACAGATGGCGGTCAGCTCACCCTGTCTCACTCACAAAGCCTCCTCTTGACAGTTCTGGCCCTCACAGGCCAACCCATACTCCCGTAACACTCATAACTCAGCATTTAATTCTATATAGTCTTCCAATGCTCTCTGCCTTTCCACGTTTAAGAACCTAGAGGATAGAAAACATTTCTTCTTTCGGTAGATAGGAGGTGGTGTAGTTTAGTGGCTGAGAGCACAGATGCTGAAATTGGGGTCTGGGTGCGAATTCTAGCTCCACCATTTACTATCATCTCTGGATCCTCTTTGAGCTTCAGTTTCCTCATCTGTAAAATAATCTATCTCTCAGAGCTCTGGTAAGAATGAACTGAATAATAGCATAAAGAGCATAAAACAATGCCTGACACATAATAAGAGCTCGAAAAAAAAAACTAGCTCACAAAGCGGGTACTTCAATTCTTGGTTGCACAATAAACGGAAACCTGTCTTTAGGGCAACCTGTTATAGCAAACAAACCCCAGTTTAAACAAACTGAGGAATCTGGAAAAAGAAAAGAGCCGAGGCAACTCAGGATGTAATATCAATAAATGGATTAAATTCTTCCCAGTGGCCATCAATAGCAGGCTGATAAAAGACATACTACTACCCAAAAAACAGAGGTCACTGCTCTTTAAAGAAAAAAAGGTATAGCACTGTAGGCATAAGAATTGATTTGCTAAAGGTACAATAAACAACGTATGAGCAAAAATGTCATTCAACTTTAATACAATTCTATTAATATTTGTTGAACAACTACTGTGAGCATGGCCCTCACCTAAGCACTACTTGGAAATCAAACAGGAGCAAAGCAATTCTCATCCTCATGGTCTAGATGATCTAATGGAGGGAATGAGGGGCAGGGACCCCAGAGGGAACATGACCCACCCAACGACTCCCACAGGAACAAAATAAAAACCGCTTCTATTATATTCCGTCAGCAGACCCTCTCAATATCAACCTCAGAACCACTCCAGAAAGAGCCTTTAGCCCTTGATGTCTCATACTAAGTGTAACTCAGCCCCGTCAAGGTTCTAGTATTTACTCAAGTTCATTGGCCTCAATTGTATATACAGGCGAGAGAGATGCTTCACCAGCAAAAAGATTACAACTCACTTTACTGCAGCGGTCTGGGACCAAACCCACAGTGTCGCCGAGGTTTGTCTGTAAACACGACTGGCAGCAACGGACTAAGCTGTCACTGATTCTAACCAGTTCCAGTGCCTCAGGGATCTGCCCACTGAGGGACAGGCCCGAGGTGTCCAAACCTGATGGAATCGTCCCTAAAATGTTCTCTAGGCGCTGACCTAGGTTTTCCGGGGCTTCTCAGTACCGGGCCAGGTCCACATCACCGTTTAAAAGCCTCCCCTTGTTTCAGGAATCTCTAAGAGGGGTCACCCGAGCAGCTTCGGGCTGCACTGGCATGACGTGTGGCCCTGCAGCCTCTTCCAGCGCGCCTACTGTCTGTCTTGCATCACTTTTTTCAGACCCTGCTCCCTCTGTCTGCAGTGTGGTATCTGTGCTTAGATCCACTGCACACTCAAAAGACATGGTAATGCCCCGAGTGGCTGAGCTTCCTAAAACACGGGCCGAGGAGGCACACAGGGCCCTTTTCATTTTCTCTTCAACGTTTATGCAAATTTCAAGCAGCCGCATTTGAGGAAGATGAAGCCTGAGCTGACACCCCAGGACCTTGGCTGTGGCTGGCTGCTCTTGCTGCAGGCACATGGTGTCTGGGAGAGGCTCAGGAAAATGAACAAAAAGGCACAGTTCTCTAAAATGACTGCTTGCATTATTACCGAAAATAAGAGAATTGAGTGCAGACAGGGAGACATCGGGGATTTGCAATAATTCTTGTGGCACCC